GGATCTTCTGTCTTGGTGCTCTATTAACTACAGAGGGAGGACTGTTGAATTCCTCACTGACAATTGCGGATCTCTTTCTCCTTGTAGACTGTCAGGTTTTGCTTCATGAATTTGATATGTATTCACAGATGTTACAGGTGCCAGTAAATTTAGAGTTATGTCTTCTTGATGAACTGGGCCCTTTATCTTTATAAAAGGTCCCTCTTCATCCCTGGTAATAGTCTATTTGATACTAACATAGCTACTCCATCCTTCTATTGACTAATATTTGCCATCTTCTTACTATTTGTTTTTATTTTAGATGTTCAATTTCTTCATGTATTTTCTTTATTTTTCTGCAGTATTTGGCTGGGGCCAGGCTTGAACCCACCACCCCCTGTATATGGGGCTGGCTCCCTACTCCTTCAGCCACAGGCACCACCTTCTTCGTGTATTTTCAAAATTTATCTTTGTAAATTAGCATGCAGTAAAATTGACTGGTGTTGGCTGAACATTTCTGTGGATTTTAACACACATATAGATGTATTTAATCCTCATCCTAGTAAAAGTGCTACATACCTCATTGCTGAATATCACTACAGTCTCCTTTGAAGTTCTCCGCTTGGGGAGCTGTGTATTGACACCAGTACCTAATTCACCCTTCAAAGCAATTTTGGAAACCTTTTTCTGAAATGACCATCTGAGCTGTCATTGTGTTAGCCTTGTGTTCTGAATGTCATAAAATGTCTTCCTTTCAATATTTCCTTTATCTTCAGGTTAAGAAAAAGATCATCAGGGGCCAGATAGGTGAGTAAAGAGGGTGTTACAATACAGTTATTTGTTTACTGGCTAAAAACTCCCTCACAAAAAGTTCATGTAAGTTGGTGCATTGTTGTAATGCAAGAGCCACAAGTTGTTGGCCAAAATTTTCAGTTAAGAAAAAAATATTTTCCTAAATATTTCTCCATTAATGTTTACTTAGTCTGATACACTTCTCACAGTCAGCTGATGATTCTGATGCACAATTTGAAGAATTTGTGCAATGTTTTCATCAGTTCTGCTCATTACTGGCCACCCTGACTCTCTTCATCGGTGACACTTTCCCCTCAGAAAAACGTTTAGTCCATTTATACACTGCCATTTTCTTCATGGCATTATCCCCTTAAACTTGGACTAACGTATCCTTGATTTCACTCTCTTGCCAAGTTTAACAAGAAATTTAATGTTTTTTTGTTGCTCTAATTCAACCTCTGACATTCTCACAACAGCATATAAAAACATGCAATGGTAATAATGAATGCCACTTAGCAAGACACCACCACACATTGACACAAACACAGTTGTGAGACACTGTCTGCCAAGGTGATGGAAGCTCACTAAGCTGTGCGACCAGTGTAGGTGTAAGGTGGCAAGTGCAAACTTAATGTCATAAGTAGTCCTTTCATATGACTGAATAGAATTCTATTGTACAGAAGTACCACAGTTTGTCCATTCACCCATTGAAGGATGTGTGGGTTCCAGGATTGTGGTAATTAAAAACAGACATCATATAAACATTCATGTACTTATTTTTTGGTGAACATAAGTTTTCATTTCTTTACAGTTAATACCCAGGAGTAAGATTTCTGGGTCATATTATAAGCTATATGTTTAACCTGATGAAAAAACTGCCAAATTGTTTTCAGGGTGGCTGAACCATTCTGCATCCCCACCAGAAATGTGGGGCTAAGCTAGACAGTGAAGGATGAAGGGGGGAGTGACTATGGCAGTGGCTATTGCACAAGACTGCTATCAGCCGTGGAGGGCTGTAGGCATCTGGCCAGTTACCTGTTTCACAGCGAGGGCCTATGAAGGGCTGTGCACACATGCAGGTGTAGTTCCCCACCAGGTTGACACACGAGCCTCCATTCAGGCAGGGGGCAGAGCTGCACTCGTCCACATCTGGGGGCAGCAAGTGAGGGCTAGGTTTGAGCCAGGCTGTGACCACCCTGCACCCAGTATCTGGCCACAGGTGGGAGCTCCTCCTGGGCCCAAGGGCAAGCTACTCACCTGTCTCGCAGGCTGCCCCTGTGTACCCAGGCAGGCACACACACACTGCAGAGCCGCTCTCTGCCTGGCACTGGCCTCCATTTTGACACTCTTGGGTGTCACAGGGGGATTGGGCTATAAGGGAAGAGGTGTGGACAGGTGGTAGGATTCTGGGCTGTGGCTGCCCGTGTGAACTCGGCAAGTGTCCCCTGACAGAAGCCTCTGGGGACAGTTGCTGAGTCCTGCCCCACATACTCCTGCTTGCAGGGAAGGTGGGCCTGGCAGGAAATCTCCCAGGATGACAGGTGTGAGGAGCCGGGCCAGGGCAATCCTGACCAGCTGCCCAAAGCCCCATCTGACTTGGGTCTAGTTCAGCAAACCTGAGGAGGGGACAGTGTGTGTGTGCTCGCAGCGGGGGTGGAGGATGAGGATGAACCTCCTCAGGCTGGTTCTCACGCCAGGTGACTGGGATGAGAACTGTTGTTGAGAAGGGGGTTCTGGGGCCCAGGCTGCAACTGAGCCCAGAAGGGTGGTGGTACTCAGGGTGCAGGAGGGGCCTAGATGGTGCCTGGGCGGAGGTGGAGGAGGTGATACCCTGTGTGGGAACATCCAGTGCAAAGGGACTTAAGCCCTTCTTACAGAGTGGGAGTGGGCTGGGGGTGCCCAGCCTCTGCCTTGCTTCCTTGCTAGATGCCGGCCCTTCCTGACCCTCTAGAGCACCTGGCCCGGGTATCATAGCTCCTGCCTTTGTCTCCTGGCTACAGGCTGTGGTGGGGGGAGGGGAGCTATATCTGTATGTTGTTCACAGCTCACCCTAAAACTGACTTTGTACAGAGAGCAGACTGAAACCTAGAGCATGTGGCACTGTGGAGTCACTGGAGGGAGGGGAGAGTGGGACCCTGTTCCTTGGCACAGAAAGGAGGCAGGAGGCCCTGACCTTCCCCCAGGAGGTATGGAAGTACTTTGGTGGCTGGTATTATACGATGACTCTATCCCTTGGCCCCCCCCCATCAGAGTGAGCACCTCCAGGCAGAGCTGCATGTGCCCGTACCTTGGCTACTGGGCACCCTGCTGTGCATCAGGAGGCTGAGGTAGCTCCTGAGACCAGGGAGCCTCTGGGGGTGGGGGCAGGGCAGGCAGGGGATTATACTTGAGGGTGTTGCCAGAGCCACACTGAGGTCAAGTGGCAAGGCCACACACAGCTAGCATGGCAGAACCAGGACTTGGGCCAAAGTGCTGGCCCCGAGCCCTCTCAGGGCCCTTACTGTGCTATACATCACAGAGGGTTTCTGGAGGGTGGGGTGGGCCACTGCCGACACGTGGCTGCCAGCCATCTGACATTGCCAAGGAGCTGCCCAAGACCCTGGGAAGCTCTGCCCAGCCATCCTGGGGTCACTCCTCAGGCTCTGGTTTCTCCTGCAGCTAGGCCCTGCCAGCACTGGGAGCTGGTTGCTGAGTGAGAGCAAGGAAACCCTGCTGGCTGCCCTGGGCCTCTACCAATGGACAGAAGCCTGCTGGGCTGTCTGAGTGTTCAGGGTTAGCCCTGCTCCCCCTCAGGAGCACATGGCTAGTGGGGCAGAGCTTGGGATGAAGAAAAATCCCTTTGCATGGAATGTGCTCTGACCCTTTGGCTGTGGCAGGGTGTGGTGCAGCCTAAGGCCACCCGTCCCTACCTATATGTGACCTTTAAATACACAAACCCATTTTGCCTGCTGGAAATTATGCTTTGCTCCATTTGCCCCTTCAATTGCATTTCCATTGCATTTTCCAGAATTTTATTTTAATGTATTCTTAGATGTAAAAAGTCTTTTATTATCATTCCACTATAGTTCTCTCCAATAAAAATATGTATATGCACTAGTTAAATATTTTAACTCCGTAAATGCATCAATGTACAAAGTTATGATTTAATAAAAAATAATTATTAAAAAACAAATAACTTCATATGGCCATAAATCTCTGACAGAAATTGCTTTTCTAGACATGTTAACATAGTTGTTTGAACGTGTTTGATGTAAATAATCTGTTACATATTTTTATAAATAATTGTCATAGAGCGCTCAGTGCATTTTCAGGGAGCATATGTGGCTGAACCAAGCAGGGAGCAGGTGTCATGGTGCTTGATGAGACTGGGGGCCGGAGTGAGGGCCTCCTTTCTTCACCAGGTGAGTGAAGGGGAAGGGTTAGGGCCTGAAGAGGTGCTGGTCTAAGGACAGGGAAGTGGAGGACAGACCTCCAGTGGAGGCTGGTGCTCTGGGGGAAGACCCCAACTCACCCCCAACCCCAGAAAGAAACAGTATCCAGAAGTCAGGATGGAGGCAGCAGCGGGGAGCCAGCTGCCACATGGGGCTGTGACTTCCTCTTACCTGTCTCACAGGTGGGTCCCCTGAAGCCAGCTGGGCACTGGCAGCTGTAGCTGTTGGCACTGTGGGTGCAGGTCCCACCATTCTGGCATGGGTGGGAAGTGCACTCATTCACATCTGAAACGTGAACAGGCCGGGGCCTCAGCAGAGGAGCTTGGCTGGGGAGGGACTGCCATGGCTAGGGCTGAGGTGGGGATACACGAGCAAGTCTGAGCTTGGCTCAGATGGGGCCACCAAGGCCATAGCACCTGCCTATCACACATACTGTCAGGGACCAAGGCAGCAGTCCTCTAAGCATTCCACCCTACTATGGGGACAGAGAGCCTTGACCTGGGACCCTTGGGCTCTCAGGGCCACTGGCTGTGCCTGTGGCATCCCCCCTGAGCCCACTGCAGCCAGCAGGTAGGTTCCCGTCCTGGGCTAGCCACTCACCCAGGTGGCACCTCCGGCCTGTGAAGCCTGAAGGGCAGGCGCAGGTGTAGGAAGGGCTGCCGGTGACACAGTCGTCGATGCACTCACCACCGTTGAGGCAAGGGTGCAGGGCCAGGCACACAGAGGCTGCAGGCACAGGGAGCAGCTACAGCCTCCCATGCTGCCTCTCAGAAATGGGCAGAACAGCCACGCAGGCCATGCCCCCTCCTTCCCCTGACCCAAAGGACCGACCTCTGGGTAATGGAGGGACCCCAGCACTGTTGGCTGAGCCTTCAGGGTCTCGCCTCCCAGGTCTGTGCAAGGGACCCAGTGAGGTAGACAGTTGTTGCTGGGACCCCTGCTGACATCCTGAGCTCTGGTTGTGGCTTCCCATGGAGGCAGACTCCCCAGACCCTCACGCCCACACACCTTCCCACTCCTTCAATCCTTCCCAGCACTGCCAGGGACAATTCTAGAAATTCGGCATGCTCAGTCCCCCTCCTGGTTTCCCTGCCTGTAAAATAAGAGGCTGGCACTCAGTCGTCCATGTCAGAGCTTCTCTGAGCTCGGCCTGCCACTAGGGAGGCCTTCTGGGGAACCTCAGCTCAGCAGGACTGGACACCTGTGCCAAGGCCCTCGGGGAAGGGCTTGACTCTAGGAAGGGGCCCCAGTCCTTGGAGAAGCCAGCTACTGATGCCTGCGAGAATTAGATTGCCTGTCATGAGGAGGGCCCTAGGGAAACTCCCTGAAGGACCCTGGGGTCCAGCATTTCTCTGGACTGTGTTTGCCCCTCACGGGTACCCTCTGCTTCTCTCAGCAGGCAGCCTGGGCTTCCCTGCTGCAGCAGGTGGCTCAGAAATTGGCTTCCAAAGGTGCTGCCGTCCTGGAAGGAGGAGTCCAGCCTCCCCATGTTTACTTAACCCCCCATCCGCTACTCAGGGCCTCAGTGTTCACAGTGTGGAGGACCCCGCTATGGCCCCTCCATCAGCTTCTCTGGAGACCTAGTGGCGTGAAGGGAAGCCCTCCACATTGGGATTGGGTCTCCAAGTACTGCTGGACCTGAGGGTCTCCCTCCCCATGCTCACTGCCTGCACCTTATTCCTCAACCACAACCCAAGCCCCTGGCCATTGGCAGGTGACCTGACCTCACTTGCCCCACCCAAAGGAGCGGCTGGCAGAGTCTCACAGGCTGGCAGAGCAGGTGCATGGCCCACGAGGCCTGGGGCTGCGGAGGGCTCCCCGCGCAGGTGCTGGGCTCACGGCTCAGGACCCAGGTGGCAGCTTGAGCCCCTTCCCCCTACGTTCAGACTCAGCTGGGGCTTACTGGTGCCCAGGGCGAGTGCAGGAGAGCTTACTGCCCCGCCCGGCATCCCCCCCCACCCCACCC